GAACTCAATGGGTTAAAGCCGTGGCGAAGGGGTGGTTTCAGATGCTTTTTGGGAGGCTGGTTAGTGGTGGAAAATGCTAGCAAATTGTCTTTTTTCTATAGGAATCCAGAGCGTCCGTTTGACACCGAACGTCCGAGGAATTGGGGCTCGTTTGGAGCTGAACTCAATGGGTTACAGCCGTGGCGAAGGGGTGGTTTCAGATGCTTTTTGGGAGGCTGGTTAGTGGTGGAAAATGCTAGCAAACAATCCAGAGAGCAGGCAATGAAACGCTCCGCACGGGCACGGAACCGGAAAGAAACGACGATTCCAGAAGAGCAACCTTTAAAAGGACGACTGAAACCCCTGTTCGAAAAACCCTCGCAATGCCAACCAGTGGAGGAAAAGCCGGACCTGAGAATCCGGGGTCGGCGGCAGGGGCGGCAGCCCTTAAATAATTACTTGAGTATTTCTTACTCAGCTGTCTTCAATAGGGTCTTAGTCTGCGCAACAACTGGTCTGACCATGCGAAAAGCGTAGTGACGTGGACTTGGTGCACGACTGATGAGCCAATCCTTGGAGCCAAAGTTGGGCAGTCAACTCAATCGGGACGGGTGACATCTAGCTGCTACTAGCTTCATCGTGCTTCATCCATTCCGATTGACAGCCATTCTCCAATTATGTTTGCTTCATGGCAACAAGGATCAGCATCTGAAGCAATCTGCTTCACCGCTTCTTCGCGTACAGGGGCTGCAAGTCCCAACCTTGGACCATGACTACGCAGCTACTCAATGCTCAGCAAAGCCATGAAGCAATTAGACCATACAGTGTGCCATTCAACTTCATACACCTACCAAGTCACCTAATTACACTGCAGTCTGCAACTACTGCACTGCTCAGCCTGTCTCGATGCAGGACACTGCAACAATATTGAAAACGCATTGCGCTAACTTTTCAGATCTTTTCAGTATTTCTTGAGCTCATGGACTGCAGGGTTCTCGCCCGAACCTGCCAACAATTTCAGGCCCCTTCCTCCCTTGACTCTCCAGTCATTATGCACACATGACATACAAGGCCTTAACTTGATCTGACCTCCCACTTAAACCATGGTTTGTTTGCGAAGAAACAGGAAAATGCAAAACAATGCAAAACATAACTGCACTGTAATGTGGCCTTGCCCTGGTAGTACTCCCATCTCTCGGAAGACCACCTCGCTCGAGTGTGCAATGCAAAGTAGCAAATCAGCCAGTCTCTCTCCCATCTTCTCCATCATTTCTGATATTCCAAACCTTTCAAGCTCTCCACATACAGGCGCACCACATGTGAGGACCTGAATCAACAATTACAGGTGCTCCAACTGTAGATCTACACTGCTCTTAAGTGTGCGCTTCTCCTATTTTCGATTGACAGTGTCCTGTTGCCTGAAGCCGGGACGGTAGAACCGCTTCCTGACTGGCCGGATCACTCGGCCCTTCACCTGCAAACGCTGTTCCTTTTGAACCTCTACGATGCCATAATCAAAACAACGCTACCAGCAGCCTTGTCTTGCTATTAGTAGTAGTAATGACCTCTAATCTACCTATGCTTCACTTGCTTCTCTGTTCGCACCTCCAAGGTCTTGTCGTCATCACAGCCCTTGAGGTCGTACTTGGCACACCATGGACCCATCTGCCAAAGCGCCAAAGTGATGATGCAAAGCGATTGCAAAGCATTTTCACCAACTTCCAGCACAAAATAGAATCAGCACTTCCAACACCTCTAGCCGACTCTAGCCCAAATGATCAGTCACCCCGGAATCGCAGCTGCATTCCAGTTGCCTCTGTCAGGTTGCGCATCGCCATAAAGTATTGTCCCGTGGCAATATCTTTGAAGTGCATATAGATGGGGCCTGAACATCAGTCAAACGGCACATGGTTTAACCAAAGATATCAGAAATGCATCAAGTATGCAACTTGCTACCAAAAGTTTTTCTTTGGGTAAAGAAGCGACGCTCATTGATGTCTATGGCATCCACAAAGCATCGTAGACCCTGAAAGCCTGAGCCCATGATCATCTTGAAGGCGGGAGCCACAGCAAGGAACACCAAACAAGCTTATGAGGCAAGTGACATCCTCTCTATCAGTGGACCTGCGATCCTGAGGAGTGTTTTGTTGTCATCCTTCGACAATGACTTGATCACCTGGCTCAGCAAGCAAATGCTCCGAGCTCTGAGAAGAACTCCACTAACGAACATGTACGAAATACAGGCGTTTGCCGTCGAAACCCGGCTGAGGAATCCAACATATCTTCGGCATCCACTTTCAAATTGGGCATGACCTTAGGGAGAGAAACGGCCGAAATTGAAAGATTTATGCATTCTTGACTTGCAAAGGTAAATCTGGTTGACCTTTGCAGGCAATATATTCAAAGCAACATTAGCTCTGGACATTTTCTATCAAATCAGAGCGAGAACAAACATACATGCTGGGCACGTCGGCAATTCAGAAAGGCTCCAAAACACTGTTGCACACATGCTAGGACTTGCTGCTAGCAAACAGTATCGACATGAAAAAGACTCCACATTCCAAAGCTGGGCCCCAAGGCCACCCTTCCCGTGGTGCGACTCCGAACGTGGCGTGTCAAGGCTCAGCCCCTGAAACGCTTCGGTTGTGAACAACCCTCCGACTTCGAAGTGGCCACAAGCGTGGAAGAAACTGGGCGCAGGGTAAAGGGGTACTGGCATAAATACTATATGAATATATATATATATCTATATATGGTTCATATATGATATATGTGTCTGATAGCCACCGGTAACCAGGATTCAGGCACAGACCACTGGTGACCACTGCAAATTTCCAAGCACCCAAAGATACGATGAGGTGCCTCATTCCAGTATGAGCCCCATATCATCGTTGTAGTTGTATCCCTGTTTACCTCCTACAATGGTTGACAATGCTCTCTAAAAATATCGTCCCAGTAACATCCACAATCTAGCAAACTAGCTTTTTTCTTTTCTTTTCTTTTCTTGTTGCGCACGGTGTCCGAAAACTCAGCGCCTAGCGATCATGAATTCTTAATTAAAGACGGGTGAAAGTCCGGTCCTTCTTTCTGTACATGTTGGACATCAGTGACGTGCATGGCTTTAAGCCAACTCACGTCTGCTGAGAAAGGACCGGACTCTTTCACAGTTCCCTGCAGCCATCGATCGAAAAGTGAGGCAAGAAACAAACACAGGTCAGGCGGGTACTCTTTAAGTGAGCTCGTAGCCCACTCCCCGTTACAAAGACCTATCGATGCTGCTTGGGGACAGTGAGTCGTTCTAGCTGCTACCTCCATTGCCGCTGCCGTCTCGTGCGACAGTCCAGGTCGGCTTGGCACTTTTAGCTCCAAAGTTTCCTTGGGAAACTGCTAGGCAATGGAAGAGACCCGTCGCGCTCAGCCATCGAATGATTGCAGTATCCCAGATGCTCGGAGCTTGAGCGTGCTTGGTATTCCAATCATGCGGATTCCGCGGATGCTCCAGGACTGACAGTCCACCCATCGCAGCGATCTCGAATAATGCTTGGATAGCGAAGCACATAAGCTCATTGCCTATGTCCAATTGCTGGCCTTCTCGAAGGCTAACATGGAGAAGCCCCCAGGGTTGGTCTTTCAGCCTCAAGGGCCTTGGAGCATAACGGCGTGCTGCAACTAGTTCAAACCTTGCCACAGTCCAAGTTTCGCAGGGCGGACCTGCATAACCTGCCGCAATAGCTCCTTGTCTGATGAGTCTCAGAATGGCCTGCTGCTGGTTCTCATCAGTCAGATTGCCATGGTCTGCACTGACCATTACGTCAAGAGAGATAACGAAAAGCATTGTTGCGTCTGGCGGTGTGAGTCCTTCAAGTGCTTGCTGCAAGTCACCAGCTCGACGTCTTCCACTGAAAAAATGCAAAACGTAGATCTCAGAGTGCAGACGATACACACATGCCCTGATTGACGCAATTTGGATTTGCTTTCGCTTATCCTCACTGTTCAAGACTTCTTCGGCATGCATGTCTGTCTCTTCTCTTTGTCTTAGATCTGAAATGCATTGAGCAGTGGCGTTAAGAGCATCTCTAATCTCTCTTTGGTTCGGATGGGAATATTCTTGGGACAGTTGTTGTAGGGTCTCGAGGATCTCCTCGATCAGCATGACCCTGCAAGCTGTCTCTGTTAAAGCCTCTGCGAGTGCTACAACGAGCTGCGAATCCTCCTCTGGAGGAGCAAAATCTCGGAGCACCTGCTCGAGTTCCTGCCTCAACATGACTTGGTCTCGATTGATCGGGTCTGGTAGGGGAAAATTGGTAGACTCAGTGCGCACCCATGGAAGCTGAGGGTGTCTGCGTTGCGAAACCCCTGCCTGGTTCACGAGTCTGTCATGGTTTTTCCAGAAAAAAGTGCAGCAGGCCTTGCTGTAGCGGAGGTGGTTCTTCAATGCTCCTGTCGTGGGGTACTGCTTGGCGCAGCACCAGCACGTTGTGCCAGCTGCCAGTTGTTGCCTCCCCTTCCATGGTCTTGTAGGCATGAACTGTATTGGCATGAAGGAACCGCGCATTTTTCTTGTCGAAACCTTTGCGGCGCAAGAGGCAAAAGTGCTTCCACATGATTGTGGCAGACTTGTTCTCACACGCTTTGTGTCTCCGCAGAGATTGGAAGACGGCTTTGTGAGCCTGCGTGACCTTCTGCTCTCTTAGTCGAAAGAGCCTCCATCTTTCAGCCGCTCTCTTTACTGCACTTTTCCAGGCGTTGGGCGATGTCATGGAAAGGTCTTGACACACCTGCTGTGGGCTGCGTCCCTGAAAGCCCCTTTCTCTCTGTAGAGCCATGTGAACCCATTCAATGGCCTCAAGATATGCCTGCTGCGTTGGGCCATCGAGGTGGGTCACTGCCCAGACCGGATCGGGTGCATGCTTGATCATTGTTGCAAAGTGTCTGGCTCTCGCTGCTTGTAACAGATCGTCTGGATATGGACAGGCAAACCTTCGGCATAAGGACTCTTGAGATGCCTTACAGCCATCTCTGGCCGCCCGGAGTCTTTGGAGATTCCAATATGACACTTGGTATTGCCATGCGTCTGCTTTGGACAGGGCTGGCCCTGCACCAATGCCCCAAGTGTACACTGACAATACCAAGGCTTGAAAGAGCTGAGCCTTGATTTTGTCAGCAACATGCCTAGGGCGAAATATGGCTTTAGCTGCTCTCCAGTAAGACTGTCTAGCTTTGGCAAAACGTGTGGCAATCTCAGTTGACAGCGTCCCTTTGTGCGACAGTATGCCTCCCAAGTGCTTATATTGGTGTACCAACGGAAGCATTAGACATCGTTTGTCTGTGAGGACTGGCAACTCAGCTTGAGGTTGTTTGAACATTTGTCTCCTGACATGCACAGATCCGGACCTCGGAGGAGTACAAGTGCCGCTGTTTTGGATGGTCCACACGAAATTTCCATGCCAACAGCATTGAGCTCGTCTACAAGCGTCTGCATCACTCGAGGCAATATCTCCCAGATGTTATTAGGTCTATCAACAGTTATCATGAGCGCGATGTCATCTGCCCATGTGACCTGCAACAGCGGAATCGATTCCATAGCTGATTCTGGAAAAGACTCTACAGCTCGGTGGTATTGGGGGACTTTGACAACAATGTTTTCATGATCAAGGATTCTCTGGACTTTGTGCAGGACTTGCGATAAAAGAACATTGAAAACTACGTCTGCCCAACTATCCCCTGGTCGCGTGCCCTGCTCAGTCCCTACGATTGTTTCTCCGTCGACTGAAAAACAAGTGGCTTGCAGGCTTTCTTGTAGAACCTGTTGTCTAGGGACTGACTCGGTGAGGGCTGCATACGCAGTCCTGCCCTGTAGTGCCTCATACAGAGCTGGCATTAGTTCTGGACCCAAACCTAGTCTCCTTGCAATCTGGGCCATGTCCTGATCTGACGCGTCAGCTCCTGTGGCAATCTGTCTCAATGCCTTGTAAAAGGCAGAGGCAATGTCCACAAAAAGGACGGCTGCACTCTTATTACATCCCTTCCGCCATCTTAGAAAGGAACGTGTTAGCTGTGCTCCAAACTGCGCTTGCTGATGAGGTCTCCCTCCTAGTTGCATAGGATGTCCTTGACTGAGGTATGGTCCATTGATCCATTTCCTCAAGCTGGCTCTTGTGACCTTGCCCATAACGTCCATCAACAGTATGCCTCTGTGACTGGAGAATTCTGCCATTGGTCCCTTCCCTTTGTACAAAGCAAATAGGTGTCCGCCCTTCCAGGTTAGAGGTTCTTCAACCCTAAGGGCTAGTTTCAAAGCTAGTGGATATAAGATCCTGGCAGCTTTCCCTGGCAAAGCTTTGAACAACTCGATGGGGATGCCATCAGGCCCCGAAGTTTTACCTGACTTGGCTGATCGAATAGCACTCTCAACTGCATACAGTGACGGAATGTCACGGATGTCATATTCTGCTGGCTTGCATCGCTCGAGCTGCCTTTGCAGGTGCTTCTCTGCGAAGTGTTCTACTTGCACGACCTGTCCAGCTTCTATAGATGCAAAGTGTTCAGTCCATCGCGCTTCTTGGTCCTGTCTGCTCAGGATCGGTTGCCCCTCCGCATCAAGCAACTTTGGAAGAGGCCTGAAAACTGGTGCTTGTTTCTTGGCTGGCTGCAACACTGGTCTCAGGCGACGAAAAATCTCCGCTGGAGGACATTCATTGACTTCTTTCGCTAAATTGTCTAGAAATGCATTCTTGTCTGCTTTCAGACCCGCTTTGAGTATGTCGGCAGACTTCTGTAGCTCAGCCATGGTTTGAGCATATTTAAAGTTGAACAAGGTCCTCCATCTGATGGATCCCTCGTAGTGTGGTTTGTGAGCCCAGGCATCAAAAATCCGAGACAGAATCTGAAACAGTTCAAGGATCTTGAAATGCCCTAAGGATTTTTTGTGGACAACCGTCTTCTGGTATATTTGCCTCGTTTCCTCTCGTGTATAGGTAGGCGTTTTCCTCTTGGGAGCTGGAAAAGCCTCTGCGAGTTGATCTTGGAAGTATTGTGTCAGTTGGACAGCATGATCACTAGCATTCATAGACCATTGAGGAGACGGACAGTGGTCAAGGACGTCGAAAAGCTTGGCCTTGTTATGTGGGTTCATCACGTCATACTTCGGCCTCTTTCTTGACATTTGTCCTATCTGTTCCCAATGGACTTCGATGATCGTTGCCACATGATCCCATCCCGCATGTCCTACGGTGATTTCTGGATCGTCCATGATTCGACCCATGCCTGGTTCCACTGCATGTCCAACAAGACATAGTCGATACGACGCTCCTTCCCCGATCCAGGGTGCACCCATGTGTACCATGGACCCCACTGACAACTTGAGAAGGTGGAAGGCGCGAAGACCTGCAATTGTTCTACAAACTTCTGAAAGAGTTGTGTACTTCGGTTCGGCTGGTTCTCAAAGAGATCACCCATGTATTGTGTTGGTGGACCTGCCCAAACAGCATTGGCATCAATGAGCAAAATGACCTGCGCATCCTTTTTGTGCTGGTTAACCTTCTGCTCAAAATCTCTCCACCATTGGACACGCACTTGTTCGGTATGACCCGTGTGCGGAGCATGGGCCACAACAATTAACAAATGCCCAAAGGGGCCTGCGTACCAGACTAGCATGCTTTGTGGATCAGCAAAAACGACTGCACAATCCTTTTCATGGAATGCTTGTTCTTGGTCAAC